GAAAGTGTTCAGAGTACACAGCCCAACACCCCAATCCCCAAAAGCCTCCCCACACTTCCCTGCACTCCTCTCTCTATTTTCCCACTCCCTAGGGTCCCCCAATCTGTTCCCTGCTCAGGTGCTCCCCAGGATTGATGATCTGGGAACCAGGGGTGAGGGAATATGGCAAAAAGTCAGGAAAATAAGAAAAAAAAAGAGAAATAAAGAGAGGAAAAGGTCAAGGGCAGGGGAGGGCACAGTGGCAGATCTACCCAGGACCCCCATGTGATGCCTGCTCAGGAAACGAGCACCTCAGGGAGGCAGCGCTAGGCCCTGGGTCACTCCCAAATCTGAGGCAACCAGGGAAGGAACTGTGACCCATGGGCCCACCCAGCCACTGCCCATCCCTGGCACCCCCATTCCTCTGGGACTCCAACCATGGGACCCCATTTCCTTCTGTCTCCCCTTCCCTGGGATCCCCATCCCTAGGCTGCAATTCCTCAGGATCTCCAGTCCCAAGGAACCACATCCTGGTAATTCCAGCCCCTGGGGCTCCCCTTCCCTTGGGGACCTTGATTCCCCCAGGACCCCCATTCTCACAGGGCCCCCCTTTCCCCTGGCACCCCTATGCCTTGGCCCCCATCCCATTATCACAAATTCCTGGAGGCCACGTTGTTCTGGGACCCTCAACCCCAAGTCTGAGCCCATCCAATCCTTGGGACCCCCATTTCCATGGGACTCCATCCCTGGGCATCCCCTTCCCCTGGACACCCATCGGCTCACTACACCGCCTTAGCCTTAAAATTCTGGTAACACCATGTCCCCACCATGTCCCACCATCACCCCCATGTCCCACCAGGTCCCCACCCTGCCCCCATCCTGTCCCCACCCTCCCCTCACCAAGGGCCACCTACACGTGGGGACGAGATGTGACCTCGCTTCCTTCCCCTTCATCCGAAGAGCCGCCAGCCAGGGGAACGGTGGACATAGCAGCGAGTGACAGCCAGTCCACATGGCTGGGGACACCAGGATGGCCGGGAAGGTGGTGCTGCTCTTGTGGGGTGAGTGCCCCGGGCACGGGCCTGACACCCCCAGGGATGGGCCCTGGTGAGGCAGAGACTGGTGGGGAGGGGGCACAGGGGAGCTGTGGGGTCCACTGGCTGCAATGGCTGCAGAGCCATTGCATGAGCACGGAGCCCAGTGTGACAGAGTTGTGGGATGGCTTTGGAGGCAGGAAGAGGGAGACAGGAACAGGGGAGCTGGGATGTGGGGACAGGAAAAGGGTGACAGAGATGTGGGGACAAGGATGTGGCAGAAGGAACCTTGGGGCTTGGGTAGCTGTGGGGACCGGGACAGGGGATCAGGGATGCAGGAACAGAGATAAGGGCCATGTACCATGCGGATGGGCCATGGGGACATGTACCATTGGAATGGGATCATTGTTACCGGGCCATGGGGACTTGGCCATAGGGGCGGGTGCTGTAGGGCTGGTGGAGGTGGCCGGCACAAACATGGGGTGTCCACAGTGTCCCCATGACCCTCAGCCAGCCCTGTCCCTTCTCTCTTCCAGCCCAGACCCTTGGCCTCGCTGGTGAGTCCTCAGGGGATGCCATGTCCCCATCCCGCTGTCTCCAGACCTGTGGTGGCCCTGGCAGGCTGGTGTCCCCTGTCACCCACAGGTGCCCAGACCACCCAGCTCCTGGTGGATCCTCCCTGGACACCAGCGGTGCTGTGGGACCAGGTGACACTGACCTGCCAGGGCTCTGGGACCACTGGTGCCACCACCTGGTATAAGGATGGGCAGTACTGGGGTCAGGAGGGACGCGACAACATCACTGTCATGGAAAGTGGCACCTACATGTGTGACAGACCGGGCAGTGGGTGTAGCCCTTCCGTGAAAGTTTCAGAAGGTGAGGGTGTTTTGTGTCCCCAGCCTGGCACCCACAGGGACCCTGAGGACTCTGGGTGGGCTCCACTCCATGAATCACCTCCTGGTGTGACCAGAGCCGGTCCCCTACACACAGGGACATACCAGAGTATCCCAGTGTGGGGGCACCCCCGTGTTGAAACTGGGGAAGCCTGGTGCGCTGGCTGTGACCCAATATGGGGTTCCCAGTGACATCAGGACCCTCCAGACCCCTGTGATGTGACGGCACCCCTCTGCCCCACAGACAAGTTGGTGCTGCAGGTGCCGGCACGGGTACTGCTCCAGGGGGAAACGATGACAATGCGCTGCCGGTACAGGCAGGACATATCTGTCCATGAGGTGTTCTTCTACCGTGAGGAGACAGAACTGGTGCGGATCCACAATGGGACCCAGTTGTCCCTGACCCCTCTGCAGCTAAACCACACCGGCTGCTACCACTGCAGGGTCTGGATGAACTACGGGGTATCACAGGGATGGGAGAAGTCAGCGCTGGTGACAGTGACAGTGAACGGTGAGCACCTCACAGCTGCCACCCCAACACCCCCACAGCCCTTCCCCAGGGACTCGGGGTCACGGTGCCCACAGTCCCCCATCTTTTGCCCTGAGCTCATCCAGGTGCCGGTGCTGGAGGGTCCCCCCAAGCCCACCGTGGGGTCACTCCTGAATCTCAGATGCCTCAGCACTCCCAGCCCCCTGCAGCCCTGAGCCCCCCTCCTGCACATGTTCTACCAGGATGAGTAGGTGGTGGGGGGCCCACAGGGGTCCCCAGAGCTGCTATTGCCCGCCTTGAGGGTCTTCCACTCAGGGAATTACAGCTGTGAGGTGCACTCTGAGGGTGGGTTGTGCGGAAGAGCAGTGCCTGGCTCTGCGTCATGGTGTGCAGTGAGTGCGGGGATGGGTACGGGGAGCCCCCACAGCCTCCTCAGATCCCCTGCCTGGGTACCTCCGTGTCCTTCAGACACCTTTCTTGGATGCCCCTGCCTCTGCCCTGTGTCCTCTCACCCCTCTATCGTGTGACCGAATCTATGATATCCCCCATTACACCCATCCCCTCCGGTCCCTATCCCCATACCGGCTGCCAGCCTCTTCCTCCAGCCTCTGCCCTGTGTGTCTCCCCAGTGCCCGTGGCCAATGCCACCATC